GATGTAACTGTTCGCTTTTTTTCCTTTTAGCTTCTCCCAACCGCCTTTATCTTCACTGTCTTTATCATTATCTTCTTTCGCTTGCCATCCCGAGCCCTCTCTCCCTGTGTCAGTTTCGGTTTATTATAAGCAAAAATAGATTGCATTAGCGCCCCCTTTTGGCTGATATTGAAATTTGGGACAATATACTAGCTGATAAATTCATGTTATGCCCAATAAGCAATGAATGGCCAAAAGTTCATACAAGCTTTAAAATAAGCTAAAACAGCTACAAATTAAAATGCTGGTTTATGCTGATTAACGCACACAGACAGACAGACAGACAGACAGACAGACAGATACAGACAGACAGACACCCCTCTTAGATGGAGTAGAAATTCTGGAAATTCTTACCAGTCTAAGTTGGTTCTTTCATTATACGTGTGGATTAGCTAGTCATCAGGGTGATTCTATAATTGGAGATACATTTGGCATTTCATAAAGTTAAGAAAAAAAACTGTTCACTAACAGAAATTCTTTCCAGTATCTTATTGAAAACATATTCAATTTTAATAATTCAGTGCTTGCCAAACACAAGTTACTTCAAGTTACTACTTTTAATGAAAAAACAGATGTCTTTATGGTATTGTTTGTCAACTCTGTAATGGAAAAATTAGGCAATGTGTAGAAATAACAATAAATCATAAAAGGAAAAATTCTTCTTGTATCATTAGACAAACAGTCCTTACATTCCAACATTTGGAACTGAGATCATATTTCACCTATTGCATACCCTAAAAATAAAAACAAATACCTGTCTTCACAGAATTGTCCACTTGGAGCAAATATTTTTCATCTGACAATGTATTATATGCAATATCCAGTAAAAAAAATAGAGAAATATTATAAAGGTGCATCATATCTCAATAATGTTTATGAGATTTTAAACAACAATTGTATAGTTTTTTTGTGAAAATAGGTATAAGAACTTTTTAGATTAAAATATTTTCTCAGAGATAGCACACTTTTCAGTGCTTCAGATCTTATCAGTGAGGGAAAATGTCATCATTTCCTGCACCTTACATAGTTGTGGGAGATAATTCTACCAATTTAAAGTCAAAATATGGTATGGTAACAGAGTTGACGCAAGATTTATGGACACACCCGTTTTTATAAGAAAAAAGTTATTTTTAAACAATTTAATGTTGTAGAATTAAGTAAATTAGTATTTAGGGCTTTTATAAATAAAATGAATGAAATATTACAAAAAGAAAAGTACAATAAAATATTTTGATTACATAATGATACATGATGGAAAAAATGCACTCATTCGGACAACAAGAAATCATGATTTTGAGCTATTTAAGACACTTTTTACACAAATTATTATATTGTTATTGACTGTAACATCTTGTAATTCATAACAATAAGTAGCAAATTATTAAAATAATAAAAAATATAATAATTTGAAAAAAATAATGACTTCGGACACCAAATGTACCTGCAATTATAGAATCACCCATCAGCACAGTTACTGATAAACATCTCTCCTGTGAGAGATTCTTTTTCTATTAAAACTAATACATCTGG